GATGTTTTTACAAGTGAAAGCTGTTTGTCTGCTGTGACAGATCAAGACCACTATACTGTGCTTTTAGAAGCATGTTCATGTTGAGCTTGTTATCTACTCACTCACATAACTTACATAACATGGCAGTAGCAGGTTTTGTCAGCTCACAGAATTGATTGATACAAATCTAATATGCATTATGCAAATGATTAAAGTTTAAAATTTAAAACGTGCATAATTCAGAACAATCTAAAACTATCCTGAACTAGTCTGTAGTTGTTTGTTGAATGGTTCAAGATATTTTTGAAAATCTTTGATGACAGGAGAGGACTGACTCTCAAATATGCACTTTCTTTATACAATCATAGATTGATGTTGTATTCTTATAAAAAATTCAATAAATGGTTTCCTGAGCTCCTTGTGTTCTTCTGGTAAATTGTCCTATTGTTTCATTTAACTCTGTTATAATAAAACTTGCTCCTGCATGGAGCCAAAACTCCTGTATTCAGTAACTACAGAGTAAATATTAAACTGTTTGAGGAGCTGTGGAGGAGAACTGGGCACAATTCTGTACATGGATGATATATTGATCAACCACATGATTCCCCCACAACCCATGAGATCATTGGAAATGATTGAAGTTCTCTTCCTCGTCCAGTTTTATGGTAAATGTAATGCAGAAATGTTTTGCTATAGTGTTTTTACTTTATAACATTCTTAATTATTGAGTTAAATAAGATAAACATACTTCAGGGGGCTAGCTGAAGTATAAGTCGTAAGTATGCCTCCGTGTTAATTGATGGGACATGAGCCAAACTAAAGAGTTAAAGGAAACTGAAAATGTTTCTCAGAGATGGTTTCTGTCAAAAATTGCCCTGTTTTTCTGAATTCCTTTTTAAACAGATTTTCTTAGATAGCAGAGAAGCTGGCTCAGTAAACATCTTTAAAAGTAAACTTGAAACATTTCTCTTTCCTTGTAGGAAACATATAAAGTTAATTGTTCTTTTTGTTCTTTTTACAAAAATAGTTCCACAGATAAAGGTGCATGTTATGGATATATTCTTATAATTATTCTCACTATTTGCTGCTGTAACTAGTGAGAATATCCTGTTGTGGGATCAATAAAGTTTTAGATTATCTGCAGGATTTAGATTAATTTACAGAAAAGATGCTGTGAAGCTATTTGCTGTGTTATAACTTTCATTAATTCACCACTTGGGCTCATGGAATGATGTTGGATGAATCTGTACTTTGAACTCTCCTGAAAGGAAGTGTGAATCTTGAACTTCCGAGTGCTCCGGTCGGGAGTGCAGCGAAAGAAGCTCCGGTTCCCCCCTGCGCTCGGAGCTCGTTCCTGCGCGTCATGGCGGCTCAGACCCGAGCTGTGGTGTCCGGCCAGTGGCTGGCAGAGGCTATCAGGTGTAACCTCGTCGGTCCCA